TTCCAGAGTTGTGTTTATTTAGTTCATTTTAACTTAATTAGTGCCCAGTGCCTCCTGAAAATTCCTGGCTACGGCCCTGCTTCCCAGTCTCCACCAAATCACGTCAAAACGTCGCCACTGTTAATTTTATGACTGCTTTAATTTCACCCCAGAAGCGGTCGCAACTTGCAGAGTGGACTGCCACATCTACCGCTCATGAAAGCTGGGGTAAAAGGGAAAATTTAGTTAAAGTTACTGCCTCCCTTGTACATGAGAGGCAGTTGCCCGGCTGCTACGGCTTCATGCAGGAATGTGGTTTCTGAGTGGCTAGTGGAGGTTGAGGCAAACATGGAGCAATGACAAGGGGACCATAATCAATTCCCCCACCTTCAGATCACCTTCTTCTTGTTCAGAACAGAACACCAAGAGTGTGATCTACACAGTGTGAGGGTCCGTAATTATCCGAGACCGGCCCACAGTTTTCATGGAGACGATAAAATACTGATCCAGTCCCAACAAGGTAGACTTGAAATGGATGTTGAAGTCCCCCAAGAAAATCAGTCCAAGAGTCCTCAACACTATGCCTGAGACCACCTCCACTACCTCAGGCAGAGAGACAGGTGGGCAGCAGGGTGTGCGGTACACCAAACTGCTTAATTGTGAGGCCTGCTTTTTGGCCCACAAGATAAGTTAATGTAATTTACAAGAAAAGAACACAACAAATTGAACTCAATCTTTCACACAGGTGTACATTTTGGCAACCCAGCACTCCTACTTTATATGTCGTTTGCATTTGTACGGCCTATCAATGGAAAAAAGCTTTTGCTACAATCATCGTTCAAGCATCACAGAGGTTGAGGCTGTCATTCAAACAAGACTGGATGTACCACACATCATCAAGTCATACATATATTAATCATGCGTTATATTAATACTAGGGCTGCCAAGTGGGGGTGGGTAAACCCCCACTTCGGAGGCCCGATTCCCGCCGCCGCAGAATCGGGCCCCGGGGGGAACTCCGCCCCCTGAAGTGCAGTGTGGCTGCGTCACCGGAGGTGACACAACCACGTCAATCACGTTGGGAGCGTGGCCCGATCGTCGAAGGGAAAACTCTATGGTTTTCCCTCCGACGATCGGGGCCACGCCTTCAACGTGATGCAATCATAATTATTATGCAATCATAATAGAAAAGATAGACAATACCAAGCATAAGTTAAAGAAACAATTTTAGCCATTTAGGAATACAAGGTCCGCTCATAACATGTTCCCTTTGCCTTGAGCACTAGAGAGAGATACTGAGCCACCAAACTATTGCTTGACTGAATAAATGTTACAGCTAATCTAAAGATAAACTCCTTAACAGGTGGGACCTTAAGATTACCTTCTGGCAGACAGCTCTGAAACTAAGAGGTAGCAGGGAATTATATTCAGCCACTCAGTAAACATTTGCTTGGCTATTTGAACATGTGCTTAAATCTCTCTACTGAAATCAGCACTTAACTTTGGCTGCATTCTATCACAGACACATCTATTTAGTCACCCAACACTGCCCCATCTCTAGGACTTAGGAAAATACTTTTAAAAAATCCATATATGTATGATAAGCTGGCAAAAACATATTTATAAACGAGCCCTTCTAATGCAGACTTAATTTATGTTATCCAATCTAAACAGAAAGTTTTAAGCTTCACAGAAACATACATTTTTGGGACAAACTGTAAGGAAGATGTTCCATAATTGTGAGGAAGCCACTACAATTTTGTACAAAGAAACCAAGTAGGTATAAAGCACATTCCATACTGATTACAAGACATGAAGGTGGTGCAATAGTTTCTTAGACGCATTAGAGCCCAAACCTCTGACGGCTTTCAAGGTATGCCTATACATCCTAATAAAAGTGTGCGTTCAGGCATGTCCACATAGGCACCTCAGGGGATATATACATACACATTTAGCACTGCACCACAAAAAAGTTTTCTTATTGCTTGAGCGGTGTTTTATCCAATTAAGAACCCATTTAGACAAACAAATACGGTACTTTGGGCATGATTAAGCTTTCTGGAATGCATTTAAAGATGCATCTGTTGACAGAAGAATCTTCTTCCATCTATGGAAGGACACCTTTGGAGCCAATTCAATGACAACAACAGAACTATGAGCACATTTTGATAGCCATTATTCCTTTCTAAAACATGGTAAAACAGGAAGGTCTTTTCTTCTACCTGTTCATCATCTTCAACCACCACCAATGTTAATTTATTCTTCTTGAAGTCCAGCCTGGTTATCTTCGGCCTGTGCAGTTGGGAGGGGGGGGGGGGGGGGGGGGAGAAACAAAACCAGTCATATGTTTGTACTTTACTGTAAACAGCCCTTGCTATATTCTGCTTATGTACTAAGACAAAACAGGTTACTTACCTGTAACTGATGATCTTCAAGTGGTCATCTGTGCATTCACACCTGTTGGAAAGGGCGCCTGACCCCATCAGTAATTTTAACAAGCCCATAATCCTTCTTTCCCTTGCTCCGCGCCCAAGGCACACACAGCATTCTCCGGTGGGGAGTGGGGAAGCATGACAAACCTGATGAATTTTGCCCATTTGTAAGCACAGGACTGTCTAGTGGACAGTTTCCTACTATTAAGTATGTCACTCAGTCAAAGAAAGGCTGAGGGAGAGCTGCCAAGCTGTGAGTTTCAGGTGAGTCACATTGCGATGGAATACACATCCCCCTGCAGTGAGTAAGAGGTCCTGGGCAGGAGGGAAGTGATACAGCTGCAGGAGCACTGGAAGCCACTCCAGTCTGAGCCACCATGGCATGATCAGAATACAGTTCGGCCTCTCCCTCAGCAGTTTGTCCACCACTCTGGTCATGGGGGCAATGAGGGAAATAGAAAATGAAGTGGTCACTCCATGGATAAAGGAGTCCATTCCCCAGGGAGAGGGGGTCCATTCCCCCTCTGCTGCAGAAGAAGTGGCATTCTCGATTCTCCTGCATTGCAAAAATGTCCAAGTCTGGAAATCCCCAACGTTCAAACATGGGGAGTAGATATTCCTTGTTGAGTTTCCATTTATATAGAGAAGCCCCTCCTCTGCTCAAATTGTCCACCCAGGTATTCTGAACACCCGATAAGTGTGTGGCTAACAGGAAAGTTCCCCAAATCAATACATGTGAGCCAAAAGTCTAACCCTAGGGAGCAGAGGCTTCTGGACACCGTGCCTCCCTGCTGATTCACACGGCTGAGGGTAGTGGCATTGTCTATAAATACAGATACCACCTTCCCCTGTATGAGGACATGGAATGACTGGATGGCAAGTCTGACAGCAAGGAGTTCCAAGTAGTTTATGTGGCAGTGTTGGTATTGAGGGTCCCATCTGGCACCCACACAGAGGTCCCTCATGCAGACGCCCCAGCCCCAAAGGGAGGCATCACAGACACCCTGCGTCGTAGGTGGATCTGAGAGACCTCTTTCAAGAACTGCCCTTTGAAGGACAGCTCTGACAGAACTATGGCTTGCCCAAGGCCATCCAGCAGCTGCAAGTGGAGGAGTGGGGAATCAAAACCGGTTCTCCCAGATTATAGTCTGCACACTTAACCATGACACCAAATTGGTCAATTGGGCATCAATCCCGATGATCCTTGGTACTGACAGGTCAGATGTGGGCGCTGCTCATGCTAGAGGAGTCACTGGACAAGGAGCGGCATGATGATCTCTGAGTCAAGTCAACTTCATCCACCTCTGATTCTGAGAAGAGCATAGGCAGTGGCTGCAACAAGGAATTGATGTGTACTAGGGAGTCTATGAAACAGAGAGGCGGCGCCTCTGTAGTAAGCTTTGATGCCAGTGACAATCGCCCAATCGGGGCATCGAGCGACAGAGTAGAAGAGCCATGTTGGGGACTGTTAGGCTATGGCTTTGGTCCTGACTTTGACTTAGAAGTCTTGTCCACCTTGTCGCTTTTACCCTCCCTGTGTTTCCTTGCAGGTGTTGAGGGGTTCGATCTCGATGCAGAGCCTGAGCGCTTCAAAGTCAAGCGGTCGGTGCCGATTTCTCCCAAGGCCAAGAGGGCGGTCGAGTGGGTCAACATCAAGGGTCCTGGTGTCGACTCGGGTCCATCTTGGTGTGCAGGAGTGGCCATTGGTGTAAGTGAAAGAGCCAACTCAACCAGTGCTGCTTGAAGTCTGACAGCCCGGTTTTTATCGGTCTGGAGAACTTGGCACAATTGACAAGCGAGTCGGTATGGTGGCCTTCCCCCAGGCAAAGAAGGCACAGAGAGTGTCCGTCTGTGGGGGAGAGTTTACTCCCACAATTTTTACAGCATTTGAAGAAATCCCAAAGTTTTTCCATAGGCCATGCGATGGGTTAGGGCTGAAGGGGGGGGGAGAGACATTGGACATTGGACAAAGCAGGGTCTTCCTACTGTTCTTTTTTTTTTTAAGAAGTTGATAGTAAGAAAGAAAAGTAGTCAAAGGAATAAGGTTGATCTCATGATTTGAGAAGACGTTTACCGATCAGGACGAAGAGTGACTGCTCGGTACAGTGGTCAGAAGAGAACTAGCAGGAGACCTGGGCTCCACCCCTGTGGGCATGCGTGTTGGAGCCCCGTGTGTACCTCGGGGTGGAACATGAGAAAGAAGGATTTAGGGCTTGTTAAAGTTACCAATGGGGTCAGGCACAGGCACCCTTTCCCACAGGTATGATGCACAGAGACCACAAAGGAGATCCATACATTATCTTGTGATGCAAGTTAAAATATACAAAAACTACAAGTTAACGAATAGTATCTTGTCAAACACACAGGTGGATGCATCAACAGTTTCAACAGAATGACAATCAATTTAATTTTAATTTTGGATGTTTGCATCTGATTCAACTATATTGCTTTCCTAGATGGTTCCCGGAAACTAAACTTCACTTTGGCTCTGAACAGTGTCACACTAAGTAAGGAACTAAACCATATTTCAGCAAAGTATTGTTTATCATATATTTTACTCATCTGGTGCTTTGAGGGGAAGCCGGGGGAAAAAATGGCCCTACCACCCTGATCATGCAAGTTACTTCATATCAATTCCAATATAATACGAATCATCATACCCAAATAAGCATTCTAACACAACAGTCACGAATTTTACAAAAGACTCAAACCGAACACTTCACTTCTAAGAACTTTGCCTCCTCCCACCAAGGATAGTGTTGTTGGTGGAGGAGGCACGTATCAGAGATTGCCAGTAGTGACGGGCATGAACCAGGAAAATGGTGGTTCATGATTTAGGGGAAGCTTCCGCGGAAGGGGGGGGGGGCATTTTCAAATGCTGCTGCAGTATGCCTCAGCAAGTGAAGGGAGGGCATTTAAAGAGACCTACATGCCTTCCCTTCACTCACGGAGTTGCGCCGCTGCCCCAGTACACCTCACCGAGTGATAAGAGGACATTTAAAGAGACCTGCATGCCTTCCCCTCACTCGCTGAGACGTACTGCCACTGCGGCACAACTCACCGAGCGGAAGGAGAGCATTTAAAAAGACCGACATGACTTCTCTTCACTCAATGAGGTGCGCCATGGTGGTGGCACACCTCAGTGAGTGAAGGGAAGGCATGCAGGTCTCTTTAAATGCCTTCCCTCCTCTCGCTGAGGCGTGCTGCTGCCACACCTCAGCATGGGAAGGGAAGGCATTTAAAGAGACCTACATCCCTTCATTTGCTGCAGCGTGCTGCCATCGTGGCATGCCTCAGCAAGCGAAGGGAAGGCATGCAGGTCTCTTTAAATGTCTTCCCTTCACGCACTGAGGTGTGCCGTCGCTGCAGCATGACTCAGTGAGTGAAGGGAAGGCATTTACAGAGAACCTGCTTATGAACCGAACAAACGGCCACAAAAAACATGGCGGTTCGTAGGTGGTTTGCAAACAACGTGATTGCATGACTCATGGTTCACAAAACAATGAACTGGTCTGGTTCGTCACAAAATTTGGTTCATAAGTTGGTTCATGCCCATCTCTTATTACCAGCATTGAATAATGTTTGCTTGGATTTCAAATGGTTTAGGTGTCCTTAAAAAGAGCTAGACTGTAGACTCTAAAGGGATTATGAATGATCCAACTTACCAGAAGAACAAGCCAATCTTGGTTTCTCCTTCAAATACAAGAACTCCTGTGGGTGTTAGTCCAAGGCTATAATCATTACCATCTCTTGCCTAATTGACAGCAATTAACATATTAAGTCAGAATATCCCCACAGGTGCGAATTCATGCTGGTACACTTTACCTTTGGTTTAAATATACTTTCATTTATTGTCAAGACCGAGCAGTTAATCTTGCTACAGCATTGTTACATATCTCAATTAGACAAACCCTGCTATTATGCATATATTCTAATCTTGCTACAGCATCATTAACTGTCTAAAACTCTGCTACTATGCATATATTCTGTTCTAGTGAACTATCTCTTACGTAAAAGACAGAGTAATCATAGTTTTTATGAAGTTTATTTTTGTACTTTGAATTGTTTATGATGGAGCCAGCCCCCTTAAATTGTGCAAACAAAAGGCACTTCCAGTCGGACAAGCAAATGAAAATATGTTGCTTCTTTATACTGGATGGGACCACTGGTCTAGGGTTGCCAAATCGGGCCGGGGGGCGGGGAATCCCCCGCTTCCGCGGCCCGATTTCCGGCGCAGGGGAATTCCGGCCCGGGGGGAACCCCGCCCCCCAAGCTGCGGTTTTCCCCTCCGACGAGCTCAGCCACGCCCCCAACGTCAGCACGTCGCCCGTCACTTCCGGCGACGTGCTGCCGGTGCGCGCGCGCGTCCAAGCGATTCCTGGACCGCGGCGACGCTCCCCCGCTGAGAGGGGTAAGAGGATTTGGCAACCCTACACTGGTCTACTAAGTCTCAGACCAGCAGCAGCTTTTCAGAGTTTCAGGCGGAGGTCTTCCACATCATCTGCTACTTGATCTTTTTAACTGGAATGCTGGGGAATTGAACCTGGGACATTCTGCATGCCTAATGGATGTCATGGCCAGGACTCAAGAGTTCTGTGAATTCTCTCTACTTCTCCAGCACCCTACACCATATCTTATACCTCGGGTTGCCAAGTATTACCTTTCGCTGGAGCGGGGGACTCCCGGCTCTTTCCTGGAGCGCGCGCACCGCAACCACGTCACCTGAAAGTGACGTGATCATGCTGGGCACGCTGGGGGCGGGGCCACGACCATCAGAGGGGGAACCACAGAGGTTTTCCTGTTTTCCCTCGGATGACCGTGGCCCCGCCCCCAGCGTGCCCGGTGTGGTCGCGTTACTTCCAGGTGACGTGCACGCCACGTACTTTGGGGGTGGGGTTCCCCCCGGGGCCCGATCCGCCAGCGGCGGGGAATGGACCTCTGGGGCGGGGGTTTCCCCACCCCCGGGGGGACTTGGCAAGCCTACTTATACCATTCCCAAGGATCATCCGGCCCTCAAGAGTGACTTAGAATGGGCACAGGGACATGTAAGCAGGCTAAGGAAAGAGTCATGTTCCACAAGCAGAATTCTGGATCTTGCAGAATATATTGTTTGTTGCTCTGAGCTGTTTTAAAAATATATTAAAAACACACACACACAATGCACACTACAGCAACATGAGACATTGGCCTTACAATTATTATAGATCGGGAGCTTCTACTCTTTATGCGCTTCACTGAGTTGTCACCCAGGTCCTAGTCACATTTGTTGGAAGAAGTTTTTTACCAATTTCATCAGAATGTGTCTTCAAGTAATATGGAATCGCAGTTTATTTCCATTTCCATAGCTTTCAAATAGGGTCAGCGATTCCAATTGTACTGAATACACTGCTGTGAAGTCTGTTTGCCTGATACAGCAGCTGGGCCCATAAGCAGTAGGATTTCAACTGCAATCCTAAACAGAATTACACCTTTCTAAGTCCACTGTAGTCAGTGGGCTTAGAAAGGTGAAAGTCTGTTTAGGATTGTACTGCATGTCATGGAAGCTGCCTTCTATGGGCTGTATGAGAAACTGATCCCATATAGCATCATGTATACAGCCTGCAGGCTTAACTGTATTGTTTTCTTTCTATTTCATTTTTTGTAATTAGTATTAACGCTACATTAAAAAATATAATCATTCCACAAAAAGTTGGGACTTCAAACACTTACCTTAACTATATGCATGTCTACGCCATACATTTCCAGCCATTTTGCTTTGTTCAAAAAATTTGTTTCTGCCTGGGCTGGTGTTTGTCCCCTGAAGTTTAGGTTATGAAACAAAGAAGTTGCAGATGTCATGAGAGAAAACTAAGACTAGACGGAGAACCAAAGAGAAAATCTTCATGGGTCTGTAGCAGGGGCATAGCCCGGATTTTGTTTCTTTGGGGGCATTTAAAAAAGTGGGGGGGCCCTGCACACACCCCTGCACACGCACCCCCCCCCATGAGGAAACCGGCCCCAGGATAGCCCTTGACTCACTCGGGAGGGAGGAGCTGATGCTGTTTTGCACGCATGAGAATAAAGGCTGATTCCCTACCTGCACACTCCAGGCAGGAAGGAAGTGGCCTCCCCACTCCACTTTCCTGGCGGATTGTTTAGGATTTTAGCCTCACTGGCCTACCCTACTGTGGGGCCGAGACAACTAGGAGGCCGTGACGATGGTGGAGAGGCTGTGAGCTCCTCGGTGGTGGTGGCGGCAACAGTGGTGGTGCTCTCCACCCAGCCCCTGGCCCAGCTATGTCCTACCCACAAGGTCCTACCCTACCAGCTGCTAGGCTTGCTGGCACTCGCAGGGCAGGATGACAGCTCGGTGAAAAAAATAAAAATAAATAAACATTTAAGGAGTTGGGAGGCCTGGGTGGTAAGTTGGGGATGGGGTGGCAACCCCGAGATGCCCCACTGTAGTTACGGGCCTGGTCAGCAGACACAACCAAATAATGCTGGTCTCCAAGCTCAATTTTACTTGTGCCCCATTAATTAATTAATTGTCACATGGCAGTGGGTGTAGTATATCCAGAAGATCCAAAGATCATCTGGCAGCCTGGAACTCTAGCTCTTTTTTTAAATGGTGAGTCAGATTTTGGGAGGGGGGGCTGAGAGAATTGTGACTGACCCAAGGTCACCCAGCTGGCTTCAAGTGGAGGAGTGGGGAATCAAACCCAGTTCTCCCAGATTAGAGTTCACCACTGTTAACCACTACACCAAACTGGCTCTCTTATGCCCCATGACCACATCTGAACCTTTTCCCTTGAAATGCCAGGATGGGAAAGTATTTCATTACAAAATTAGTATGTGGAACCTTAGAGAGTTTGCCAAGTAGAGATGCCACCGGCGCTGTAGGTATCCAGATGGCATACAGTATTGTTTGGACAACTTAACACCCAATCTTAGCTATAGTGGAAGTTGCTGCAGTTGGTAAGAACTGGGGAAAGGCAGCTTACACATACACAGTCTCTAAGCTGAGGAAGACACACACACCCTCCAAGCTATCATGTATTTTGGATTCTACAGGCCCACAGTGGCTTCTGAAGACCAATCACTGGTGATAAAATTAAAGCAAACCCAATAAATGCATTGCTCCAGCTGCCACTTATCTAGCCACACAAATTGTGCCAGAGGAGAAGTCATATTTCCTCCACATAACTCTTGCCATTTCAACCAGTGATTACAACGTTTTACCTAATATGTTTCCTTAGGTTAGGACAAACTGTAGGACACACATATTTTGAAATACATAATCTCATTTATCACTACATAAATAGAACAACAGTACTCAGGCAGGTACCAGCAGGGATAGAAAACCTTTCCCCAGAACAGCAATATCTATTCTGAATGCACAGAATAAATGGAAAGGATTCAGATGGTTTCATGTCATTATTTGGGTGTTTGTTACCTGTATTCCTTCCACTTCTCAAAGATGGCCAGTTCCATCTCTTCAGTCTGCTGAGGCACAAACCTGAACTCTGACACGATGTCTGGGATGTGCTCAGCCGGGTCATAGTCGCCAAGTTCAGCTGCAAAGAGAAATATTTCAAGAATTCCGGAAAGGGAAGCATTTTCTAATTAACTGATTGGAACGGGGCAGAATCCAAATGATCTACAATGATACAATATTTCACTTCAAGTGTTCTAGATGCTGATTTCCCACCCCCCAGCTTTTTTTCAGAAGTACGAATGTCAGCATCAAGTGATTTTATTTTTATTATTTTACACTAAATATGTAAGACAAGAACATCCTCATACTTGATATCAAGCTACTTTAACATTAAATCTTTAATAAAGGCATCACAAGATCCTAAGCCCTAGGAACAGAGTTCCCTCTAAGCTGTCTTAGGAAGCAAGGGTGCACAAAATTTTAGCTGGCAACTCAGGGAGTTTTCAATCAGCTCACATGTGAACTGAGAAGGCATTTTTTCCCATTATGGCTGGATTCAGACATCAAAAACAGGTGGGTGTCTGGGACAGGCATGAATCTAGCGTGTTGCTATATCACTCATGTGCTTGCATTTGCTCCTTCTCTGCTCCCCATATGAGCCCCACAGGAACTTATGATCTATCAATCAACACCTCCTAGGGGTTCCCAGCCCCAGGGATGTCCAACTTGCCTCAATGAGGGCCAGGGCTTTTTCGGCCCCGGCCCCTACCTGGGGGAATGAGCTCCCATCAGAAATCAGGGCCCTGCAGGACCTATTACAGTTCCGCAGGGCCTGCAAGACAGAGCTCTTCCACCAGGCTTTCAGCTGAGGCAGCAGGTTCCCACATGCTGACTGGCCTCCCCTCCAGTGACCTCAGATCCGAATGGCCACCTGGGAACAAACTGCTTCTTGTTGAAATCTGTTGAGTCACCGGTCTTTTATTGATTACTGTTTTTAGGTAGGTTTTTAGATATATTTTAACTGTCAATTTGTTGTACTGTGAATTCGATGATGGAACCCACCCTGAGCCCGCTTGTGGGGAGGGCGCCATACAAATCATCAAATTAAATAAATAAATGCAGGAAAGTGAAAGCTTCCTGCTTTCAGAAGCCTTCAAACTGCTCCAGGTTTGTGGGGAGGGGGGGGCAGGGGGAATCCTCCAATTTGCCTGGGTGCTTGCATTTGGATGTCAACACTGGGGGTGATGGCTTCAGAAACCAGAAGGCTTTCCATTATTCTCCACATGTAAAAGAAAGGGAGTACATAAACATGGCAACAAATCAGGTTTGTAGCCTCTCAATGCAACCAAGGATTTGGGCTTCCACTTCAAACTGGCAATGCAAGCCAGGAATGAATGCTGTTTTTCAAACAAGGTTTTTGGAAAGGGAGAGAAAAAAGAGAGTTTTTTTATTTCAGAGTAAGCAACAATAAGCAGAAGGGTAACATGGCACTGAGGTTATCACCTGACATGGGAATCAATGGCAAACAGAATTTTAAAAAGCTGTTTTGGTGTTGTTTTTATTAATCCCATCCCAGCTAAACTGTAATATTCAGCAAGAGAATCACTAGGAGAATATTCAGGACAGCTCTTCCACACAGCAAGCAAATAAATGTTTTGCAGTGAAATCAGTTCATTTATTCAGCAGCAAGCCATCACGTTTTGTGTAAATCAAGTGATGTACTATGGATGCCAGCCTCCAGGTGAGGCCTGGGGATCCCCCAGAATCACACTTCTTCTCCAGACTACAAAGATCAGTTCCCCTGAAGAACACTGATGCTTTAGAGGGTGGGACTCTATTGCATTGTCCCTGTCCTCTCCAGGCTCCACCCCCAAACCTCCAGGAATTTTCCAACCTGAATCTGGCAACCCTACCCCCCATCCCCTGCCAGTGGCCGGGGGGGTCCTGGCAACCCTATGCTGTACATTTACTGTGGCTGGCTGCTGAAAGCACTGCATACTGCTTAGATTTTTTGCTAGCTCTTCCTTTGTGAAGACGAATAATTTTGCAAGAGCTTGAAAAGATACGCATTTCCCCTTCAGTATTGCTAACAGCATAAAAGACACATTTTTGTTTCTGAATGGTTATTTGTTTTCCTGTCACCTTCTGCTGGATACCCACACACCAACTAATGAAAGCCCAAATGGGGGGGGGGGAACCCCTTAAAAATGAGTTTATACCATAAGAGAAAAAAATTCAGGTCAGGGAAAGAAATGGCTTATTGAATAAAAAAAATCATTCAGTTTCATGCCACATAAATACCTTAATACACATCTTGTGTCTTGAATACCAATTTGCTTATTCTAAAAACTTCTAAGTAGCATTTTCATGAGCTTTTCAATCTGCCACAAAGGAGGTTTCTAAATCTGCAATTTACTCCACGATGCTGCCTGCCTGATTTAGAGGACTGCTGTCAAAGCTAGCTTGGGTTCGAGCTGATTTAAACAACATCTACAAAGTTAGACACAAAGTCTGAAGTTTTGAGTACTGCATTTGCTGTTGTCCGTATTTGTATGAAAAATCTAGGGCCATCTCAGCTCTGGTGGCCAGATGGTAAGGCAAGAAGATCTTTAAATCTTTCCTGAAGCCCCAGCTGGGAAATTAGGCTCTCTCTCCATCTCACCACTACCTACCTGCAATCAGAAGAAGAAGAAGAAGAAGAAGAAGAAGAGATTGGATTTATACCCCGCCCTTCACTCGGAGTCTCAGAGCGGCTTACAAACTCCTTTCCCTCCCCCTCCCCACAACAGACACCCTGTGAGGTGGGTGGGGTTGAGGGAGCTCTGACACAAACTGCTCTTTTTCAAGGACAGCTGTGCCAGAGCTTGTGACTGACCCAAGGTCACATCAGCAGGTGCAAGCGGAGGAGTGGGGAATCCAACCCGGTTCTCCCAGATTAGAGTCCGCACACTTAACCACTACACCAAACTGGCTCTCCACTTGCACCTTGGATCCTATCTAGAATTTCTGCAGGTATATGGGGCATTCCTCCCTCTCGTGGGAGCCCACAATATTCCTTGAAACGCTGTTCCTGGGCAAGAGGGGCGTCTAAAAACAGCTTGACAGGAAATCAGAGGTCTCCTATGGGAGAAGTGAATCAGTGAAAATGGACTCATTGTGCCTCTAGAAATTTTAGGCAGGAGCCAAGCCGATATCTATGCCTATTTTCTCTTCACCAACTACAGCTTAACTTTACGTGTTGTATGCAGCAGTGCAGGAAAGCCAAGCAAGTTCATTTCTTTTCTCATGCCTGTGTGCTACCTAATATATGAGGCTTCTTACTTTGCATCTTACTCAAAGTGAGCTCTAACTCACGAATGCTTACTCTGGAATAAATTTTGTGAGTCTTAAAGTGCTACTGGATTCCAGCTTTATTTTATCACTACAGACTAACATGGCTACCCCATATGGAACGACTCTTCTCTAGAGGATCAGATGTACCATTTGGGGGGGAAACCCTGTGCCCATAACCTTGAGTGTCTCATTGCCTCCTTACCATATCTAAAGCAGGGATTTGTTTCTTGTACTCTATCTTCACCTCTAAGCATACAGAAATAATCTAATTTAAATTTACACACAACATTTTGAACAAGAAAAAAATAACAATCCAAGTCCAGCCTTGGCTTGGTAGTAGCAAATGAATGAACAGCACAGTGGTTAGAACCCCACAAGACCAGGGCTCATTAGCTTTACTAGCATTTGGAAGGATGAACATGAAATAGATCTTTAGGGCGCAAGACAAAGAATAGTAGGCAGGACAAGCTCAAGTACTTTAATTTATCAGAGCCTCTGGATGTTATGGCCCAGAACTCACTGAAGAAATCATTTGTGTCTTACAGCTTTACTATAGATTGGTAGATGTGTACAGCCTGTGAGTATGTGACAGCAAAGACCTTTCTTAATTAATTTCATACAATTAAGTTATCTATATCCATCCTGCATCCACCAATCCATAGGTGCAAAGTGACAAATCTTTGCTTTGTAAACATGTCCTGTAAATGTGGATTTCAAGGAAAATGAAGATTATCCCTTCTCTTATTTTATCAGCTGCAAGATCTTTTAATCTTTGTTGTTGTTCAGTCGCTCACTCGAGTCCGACTCTTTGCGACCCCATGGACCATATCATGCCGGGCCCTCCTGTCTTCCGTCGTGCTCTGGAGTTTGCTCAATTTCATGTTTCTTCCCTTAATAACACTGTCCAACCATATCATCCTTTGCCGTCCCCTTCTTCTTTGACCTTCAAACTTTCCCAGCATCAGGGTCTTCTCCTGTGAGTGCTCCCGTCTCATTTGGTGACCAAAGTATTTGAGCTTCAGCTTCAGTATCTGGCCTTCCAGGGAACAGTCAGGGTTGATTTCTTTTAGGTTTGACTGATTTGATCTCCTTGCAGTCCAGAGGACTCTCAAGAGTCTTCTCCAGCACCATAATTCAAAAGAATCTATTCTTCGGCGCTCGGCCTTCCTTATAGTCCAACTCTCGCAGCCATACAGTACTACTGGGAATACCATTGCTTTGACCATACGGAATTTTGTTGGCAGGGTGATGTCTCTACTTTTTATCATGCTGTCAAGGTTTGCCATTGCTTTCCTCCCAAGGAGCAGGCGTCTTTTAATTTCATGATGAAATCTATTTCCAAAGCAAGTAGTCACAGACCACCTGACCATGAGAGTACTGGCTAATCCTAGCCTCTTAAATGAGTTTAGCTCTCCTGGAAGCCAACTGAACTACCAATACAAAAGCTTCCAGAAGGTGGTGGGACTCCAAGGCTCGGATCTTGTGACATAATTCCCCTCATGCAGTCCCTTTCCTCTGCTGTGGCACTTGCTTCCTCTTTGTTTGATCTATATCCCACCCTTCCTGCAAGCGGGCTCAGGGCGGGAAACAACAAATACTTTACCAATCATTAAAACCATTATAACAGTAATTCACTCAAATCCACTGTTAAAAGATGGCCTGTTATACATTAATCTATAGGGTTTCAGCAGTGCTGAATAGATGACAGCAAGAGTACCCGGAGAAGCAACAATACCATCTTGCTTATGTGGGCAGATGCAATAAGGCAGTTTCAGCAAGGGAGGCCAGATGATTGGTCCCGCGAGGCCCTGGTCTCAAGCGGGACCATGTTCCACCAGGCAGGGGCCACGGCACAAAAGGCCCTGTCCCTGGTCGAAGCTAAGCAGACGTCCTTTGGGCCGGGGACAACCAGCAAATGTTTATCACCTGAGTGCAGGGCTCTCCAGGGGACATACGGGGATAGACAGTGTCTTAGATACGTTGGTCCCAAGCCGCACAGGGCTTTGAAGGTTAGTACCACCACTTTGAAGTGGATCTGGTACTCAATTGGTAGCCAGTACAATCAGCGTAGGACCGGCTGAATGTGTCGCAGTCAGCAGGCGCGCCAACGCATTTTGTAGTAGCTGGAGTTTCCAGATCACACTCAAGGGTAAGCCTGCATAGAAGAGTTACAGTAATCTAACCTGGAAGCCAAGTCCTGGGAGGAGAGATAAGGAACCAGTGGCTTGATCTGCCGAAGACTGTAAAAGGCAGACGTAGCAACAGCAGTGAGTGACCTGCACCTCCACAGAAAGCCAGGTATCCAGGATCACCCCTAGACTCTTCATCAGCACTTCTGTGTCCATAAGGGCTCCTTGAAAATCACTGATCTTGCAACACACAGAAGTTCTAGCAGCAAAGGAAGCAAGCACTGTAGCAGAACAAAGCCTTTGCAATGGCCAGAGAGAAGCTGGAACAGGAACTATACAACAGGATCCAAACCAAAAAGCCAAAGCCTTTTCACCTAGCACCCCTTTGAAAAATGGTTTTTAGTGCCTAGGAGAAACGTCAGGTTTACTTCATTTTTGCGGAAACTATTGTCCATCAACTTAACCTAATAACATTTAAAATTCGGATCCAGCTCTACATGATCCATCATCGTAGAGCTAGAGAAAAGAGCTAGAGCTAGAAATCATCGTAGAGCTAGAAATACTTTGACCTTTTGTTTTATTGTCCTCAACTGCCTGTGTTCTTTGACGCTTCTCAACTCCTTTTATCAATACAATAGTGTTATTTTAAATACTCTAGACTGGTACACGGTTAAGCTCAAAATCAACTTATTTGTCTAAATGCCATTATGACTGATCTAAGGAGGCTATAGGGATTATTGGAAGCACCAGAGATACTAGGAGTGAGTTCAGAGACTTCCTTTATAAAATTCCTATCACACCAATCCACAGGCAACTCCTATCTGAGAGTGAAGCAGTATGGAAAATAGGTGAAAGCTAATACAATTGAAATTTCAGTGTACCAGAGTATGCAGCACCTCATGCAAAACATGCTCCCTCCAGTCTTCTTAGACAAGTAGCTCCATGACAACCTCATATTATGGCATCTTAGATTACTTCAATGCATTGCTTGTGGGCTTGCTTTTGACCAGTGTTCATAAAATTCCTGTATTTTAAATAATATGTGAATGTACAGGATTTAATCATGTCTTATTTTGTGAGTTGCCTCAAGCAGGCTCTCTGGAGAGGCAGCATATACGTTTTCTAAATAAATGCATTCAGAATATAGAAATGCAACTAATGAGTGGGAATTTCCAAAGTGAACCCATGTCACTAGTGGTAAGGGCACTACCACAGACTTCCCATAAGCTTCTGGGTATAATCCAAAGTGCTGGCTTCAACTAATAATGCTCAAAATACCTCGAGACCAGTGAAGGACAGTCTACTTCCATATGAAGCTGCTTACAGTCTGAGGTCGCCTTCTGAGGCCCGATGTGCTCTGCGTGGCTCTTTCTTTCGAGATTAGGCCAGTGGTACAGACTTCTTATACAGTGGTGACTGATCTCTCTAATGCCCTCTGCAGACACACTTTCCTAGTACCAACTTTGCTTTCTTACATCTGTTTTCACTGGCATTTGAATGATGGTCACTTCAGCAAACTGCTCTTTTACATAAAGTAAATAATGCCAAGCATAACAGCCAACAAAAATAGCTAGAAAAAGCTGCCTGTACAAGCACAAATCTATAGCCTGTAAATTATCTCAATTTTAGGATTTAAAATTTGTAATTAGATTTGTAGCCTTATGATAAAAAGGTGGGGGGAAACTGTGTTGTCACAAAGACATCGGCAGAAAAGAAGAAGTGCTCCTTTTAAGCTCATTTTCTCCTTTGTGCTTATTTATTTCCAACTTCACTTCTGCTGTCTTTTGATACAGCAGGCTGATCCTGCATTGAGGAGGGGGCTGGACTAGATGACCTACATGGACTAGATGACACTCGGTGATTCTATGATTCTATTTGTCAGTTTCAGAGCAACAGCTGTAATTATATGCAGGTAACATTCTTCTGAGTACCTGATCCCATCTCTCAATAAAGAACCTTCATCCTTGATGAGCAAAACTGCAACATCTATATAAATAAACGAAAGTCCCCTCCCCGTAAAATCAACGCCCAAGCCAAACCCCTGGACCTAGAGACACCAAAATCGGGGAGAGCACTCCTACCGTGGCGTAGATGCTCACTAAGAAGGGATTTTTAGAAATTCGACCCCTAAGTGGGTCAAAATGGGGAAAATGTGCTCCCCCATTGATTCCTACCGTGTTTCCCCGAAAATAAGACACTGTCTTATATTTATTTTTTCTCAAGAAGACACACTAGGGCTTATACCACAAATGCATAGAAATCCTGCTAGGGCTTATTTTTTGGGTAGGTCTTATTTTCGGGGAAACAGGGTATGCAGCTGCTAGGCAGCTGCCTCTCTGAACCCCCCACTCTCTGATTGGTCAGCTGCAGAGCTCAGTGTTCTGAGAGCCAGTTTGGTGCAGTGGTTAAGTGCGTGGACTCTAATCTGGGAGAACCGGGTTTGATTCCCCACTCCTCCACTTGCACCTGCTGATGTGACCTTGGGTCAGTCACAAGCTCTGGCACAGCTGTCCTTGAAAAAGAGCAGTTTCTGTCAGAGTTCACTCAGCCCCACCCACCTCACAGGGTCTGTTGTGGGGAGGGGAAGGGAAAGGAGTTTGTAAGCCGCTCTGACTGAGACTCCAAGTGAAGGGCGGGGTATAAATCCAATCTCTTCTTCTTCTTCTTCTAAAAAACCCCAACAGTTACAGGGGACTGCAGAGAGTTAATGACAGTTGAGGAAATCAGGAGTGGCCAACAACCACCTATGAGGTGAAGCAAAGCTGCTGGCCCAGCCTCTCTGATGGCTTCCAACACACTGCCCCCAACTCCTACACCTAACAGACAGTTGTCTGTCAGGTGCAGCCCCACCTCCACAGTGGCTTCTAATACTCCTCCCCCCTTCCCCTCCTACACTGGACAGGCAGCTGCCTGCCAGGTGTAGGAGAGGAGGTGGGGTGGCTTTGAACACACTCCCCCCACCTCCTACACCTAACAGGCGGTTGTCTGTCAGGTGCAGCCCCAGCTCCACAGTGGCTTCGAATACTCCTCCCCCTCCTACACTGGACAGGCAGCTGCCTGCCAGGTGTAGGAGAGGAGGTGGGGTGGCTTTGAACACACTCCCCCCACCTCCTACACCTAACAGGCGGTTGTCTGTCAGGTGCAGCCCCAGCTCCACAGTGGCTTCGAATACTCCTCCCCCCTTCCCCTCCTACACTGGACAGGTAGCTGCCTGCCAGGTGTAGGAGAGGACGTGGGGTGGCTTCCAACACATTCCCCCCACCTCCTACACCTAACAGGCGGTTGTCTGTCAGGTGCAGCCCCAGCTCCACAGTGGCTTCGAATACTCCTCCCCCTCCTACACTGGACAGGCAGCTGCCTGCCAGGTGTAGGAGAGGAAGTGGGATGGCTTCCAACACACTCCCCCCACATCCTACACCTAACAGGCGGTTGTCTGTCAGGTGCAGCAGCAGTTGCAGGATGCTTAAAGCCACGAGGGAGCCTGCCCCAGCAGTAACGCCTTAGTGATCCTGCCAGCCCCCCACTTCTTTCTCATGCCATGATCATATGATGGGAATCTACAGCCAACTACAACTTCCCATCATAGGGACACACAATGACTATGAAACTGTACATATGGTTTTTCCCCTAAGCACTGTCTCTATAGGAAACCAGTCAGATCTGAAATGATCTTTGGCTTCTAGCACTACACCCACACCATTCCCTTCAACCCACTCACCCTGTAACATGTAAGCTGACAACTGCACAGCTGTTTCAAATGGGCATTCCAACCTGTAACAGAGGAAGAAAAAACCCAGGCAATTTAGAAAATAAAAGTATGCTAAGGATTTGGAAGAGGCAGCACGGTAGTGATAAGTGATTCCTAAGTATGTCTAAAGAAGCACCACTATTTTCATTTATTTATTCAGATTTATAGTCTGCCCTTCCCATGAATAGGCTTCACGGCAGATCACAACAATAGCTAGGCCAGGGGTGGCCAAACTCGCTTAACGTAACAGCCACATAGAATAAACGTCAGATGTTTGAGAACCGCAAGACATGAATATTACACACATGTTTTTACGGAAAAATAGGCAAATTTGCTTTTTATAAACATTAAATTAGACTGCGTGAAAAAGCCCCATGTGGCTCCCAAGCTGCAGTGTGGCCACCCCTGAGCTAGGCCATTCGGCAACACAGAGGCAATAATAAACAGTTAATTAAAATATTAAAACAGCATTTAAAAACAATCTGCGAATTATATAAAGTTTAGAATCATGGAAGTTTTAAGACTGCACGGACTGCCATATATTAACTGAGCGAAGAAAAATTCTGACAAGTCAGTTGTCAGACAAGTCTGACGACCGGTTCTACAGGTATCTTGCTCAGGCACATGATTAATAAGCTCCAATTCAAGATGCAGAAGAAACTAACATAGTTAACACAAAGCAAGTAGCACACAAAACGATACATCCCCATCCAAAAGGCTGCCCTTCACAAACATTTTATAGCCCTGTAGGAAGCTGAGTATTCTCTGTAACTGGGTAATGAAAATACATTATGGCAACATTTAGGAAGCCAAGAAGAATAACTGTGGGGCTTATGAATACCACAGCTGGATCCAGCAAAGCAGTTGTGGAAGGTGCTCACGGACATGGATCTTTGCTACTTCTCTCTTCTCCCAGGAACTGAAATTTCTGAAAAGCTGGCTACCAGAAGTCATTGGACCTATACTGATAAGAGCCACTTGGCCTGGCCGGACAAGAGAGCTGCACTGACAAACAGGAGCTGGGCAAGATAGTCACCACCTTGCTTTTGCATCAAAGGTGGAAAAGATAGTGGAAAAGGGAACCTGAGATCTGCTTCACCCTCTTCACTGAGGCACCAGGGGATGCATGGCTTTTTGTCACTGAGGGTCCCACGACTTCCAGCGTCCATTTTTGATCAGTCTACGAGGTCTCAAGGGAAACAGCAGGAAATATCCTTGCCTGTGATTGCCCTCATGTTGCACTGGATCCAGCCCCAAGTCTGAGCAAACCACACACACACGGTTATTTATGACTATCGGCAATTATTAAAACTGCACACTTGCACAAAGCTGAATGAGTATTTTGTGTATCCTGTATTTTGGTGACTGATACATGTCCTCTCTATGTTTTTGTATTTGCAGCACACATTGATGGAAATAAGCCATATACTTAGAAGAATTATCAGCAGTACTTACTTGCCATTCAGAATGTCTTGTCTTAGCTGAAGGACAAATAAATACCTGTTTACAGGAAGAAAGAGCAAGAACAAAGCCATCAGTTCACATGGCCAGCCCTACGGCTAGGCAGTCGCTCTTAATATGAACTTTAAAATATTAACCTGATACTTGAACGATCTAGAATGATCAGCTGTTGCGCTCTGGTGTCTCACTTTGGGGCACAGAAACAAAGAGCAATGCATTCCACAGTAAGAGGATGAAATTCTTGTTAAAAGAATTTCATTTTGTAGCTTGTCTTAAGATCCCATTACACATTTTCAAAATAAAAAAGGAGGAATTTCCAAAACGGTTGGAAAGTGTTAACACCCAATCTGCAAAATTTCCTCAAAAAGCATTTCATGAATTGATCTAGTTATGATTATTAATACAAGGCAAAGTCTGAAGCAGATGGACAGTGTGAGAGCATTACAGGTTCCGGTCCAGAACCCTCATCCCAAAGAACCACCGTGTCACTGAAACCCCCCAAAACAATATTTACTGGACTGCCAGAATCAGACGCTTGGCGGACCATTTGCAAATCACCCCTGGCCATGTCCTTCAGGGACGGTACATGATGACTGGAAGTTTTGTTTATTTATAGATGAAACAATTATAGAGGTGACACGCAGATTCAGAGGAACCTACTAGATGCAGTACTATAAACACATGTTTTGCAGCCCCTTAATAAATTGGAAACTAAATGTGCTGCCTCTCCACAGACCTGTTCAAGGCAGCTCACAAAGCAGAACAATACGAAGTATACAAAACTAATACAAGGCACAGGCTCAGATCCAGGGAAGCTCTTCCATGGGTAGAAAGATTTCAGACCATGGAGAGCAAATTCTCTCACACAGCAGCCTGAAATGCTGTTCCTGAGGGGCTCCTGTTCCATGTATTGGGGGGTGGGGGGCACGAATTCAGGCTACAGAGGGAGGACAAAGGTGAGAAAGCCACACTAAGAGCAGAAATCCTTCCATCCTTGGTAACGCTATGCTGGATCCAAGCCACACAATGCCCTGCTAGACAATATAATAAAATCACAAGAACAGGATACAATGAATAGTAATGATTTATTATTATGCCAATTTATTTATTATTATGCCAATTCTGCTTTCTGCCACGGCTTATAGCAGATTTTTTGGTTTCCTTTCCGTGCCGTGATGTGGAAAGATATGCACTCTATGTACCTTGTGAGTTCTTCACGCAAGTTATTTGGCTCAGAGGAATAAAACTTTACACGAAGATGGAGACAGTAGGGTGGACCAACTATAAAAAAAAATGTATTTGGGTTATTGGCAGCAAAGTAATTTTTCGGCAGATACTTTCTTTAGTAATTATACTCACAACATTATGATAATTGACCTAACCATGATGGCTTGGATCATATGACACCGTTTCCCTTGTGCTTGTCTCTGCTTGCTGTCGAGGTTTTCCCCTACTGCAGAACTTGCGGTAGAATCTTAGGAAGCCTACTCAACAGTCATATCACATTAAGTTTATTTGCGTGTGCAAGAACAGATCACTCTAGTTTAGTCCCAATATTGCAAGGCACTCTCCATGAATGGAAAATCAATTTATCTTGGCTGTGCATCCAGTGAAATCCTTGGAAACTCTTTATACCTTTATAATCTTGGGAGTATTTGCCATGGGCATCAGCACACACTACTGAATTCAGAGTCAAATGGAGATTTATCTCACTTACTGTGAATCTTCCTTCTTGGTGGTGGTGGTGGTGGGTCAGTTGCTACGAATGGGAAAAGCTCTTCCCTCTGTTCCAGCAGGGTCACCTTGTCTTTGTCTGCGATTCCTATAGGGGGAGGGGGCTTCTTCCTCCTGGTTCCAGTATCATTCTAAAGCCAAGAAAGGAAACAAACCAACAACTCTCTCCCTCTACCCACCTTCGGTTCCAACCACCAATCACTGTAGTCCCTTCTAGGACCCGAAGTAATGTGGCTAGACCGATTCCTCAACATCCACCCCCGGGATGTCCATTAATTGATAGCCTTCCGAGGCCCTTCTGGGCATCCTTCCGAGACTGACAGAAAAACCTGAAGGTGAAAACAAGGTCACCTGCCCTGTCTCTTCTTGCATGCCATCTCCCTGCCCAGATACCAACAGATTGAGAACCCTCAGGTGGGATCAACCAACCCAGCCACAAACCACTGAGAAGGAAGATTCACAGTAATTGAGATAAATCTTTGTTGTCCAGTGGTCCTGGGGCGGGTTGGTCACTACAAGTTGGACCTACAAAAACACTACGTCCCTGGGGGGGGCAAGACGGTGCCTAGATGGAGACAATCTGCTGCAGCACCCTCCTGCCAAAGGCAGCCTCAGCTGAAGCCCACCTGTCTATCCTATAGGGCCTGGTGAAGAAGTGTACTGACTTCCAGGTGGCAGCCTTACAGATAACTTCCAGAGAAGGAAAGGACCTATACGCTGCCGAGGTAGCTGCTCTTGTGAAAGAGTGTGCTGTCATGCCAGGTGCTAGTTCTAGCCCTGCCGTCTTGTAGGCCGATATGACGCAGCCTTTCTCCCACCTGCTAATGGTAGACATAGAGAACCTTGTGCCCTAAGGATGACTTATGAAAGGACACAATTAGGGAATCTGTCCTATGAATGAGCTTAGTTCTGTCTAGATAAAAGCTTAAGGCCCTCTTGACATCCAGACAGTGACACTCCTTCTCCCTAGCATGCTTGGGATTAGGATAAAAGGAGGGAAGAACTACCTCCTCTGTCCTGTGAAAGACAGAGTTGACCTTTGGGATGAAGGCCTGGTCTGGGCAGAGTACCACCCTGTCAGAATGAAAGACACACAGCTCCTTGTTGGATGAGAGGGCTCTGAACTTCGATACCCCTCTAGCCAAAGTGATGCCTACCAGGAATGTCGTTTTAAAGGTGAGCTCCTTTAGAGGAGATGTTGCCATGGGCTCAAAGGGAGGTCTGGTCAGAGTGGATAGCACCACATTCAGCTTCCAGGTAGGAAAATGATGAGCCTGAGGGGGGTTAATCAGGGCAGTCCCTCTGAGGAACCTCTTCACGTGGGGATGCTGAGATAGGGGCTTCCCTTTCTCTGTTCGCCTAGCTGCTGAGATGGCCACAACCTGTCTCCTGAGCGTACTGATGCTGAGGCCCTTGCCCAAGCCAGCCGGGAGGAAGGTGAAGACCTCCCCCACTCTGGCCCTAAGTGGTTCTAGCGCCCTCTGTACACAACAATGTTTAAAGAATTACTGTAGACCCTATAGGTGGACTCCTTCCTCGAGGCCACCAAAATGTCAATGACCCTATCCAGATAACATTGAACATTGACAGCTCAACCTCCAAGATGTGAGGCTTAGCAATTTGGGCCATGGAAGCAGATCCCCCCTTTGGCAGTAGTCTCCACAGATACATGGTTGAGAGCCTCAATAGGTCCTGAAACCAGGTCCATCGCAGCCAGAAGGGCACTATCAGGACAATCTCAGCCTGTTGATCTATAATCTTCTGTATCACTTGCTGAATGATCTGCATTGGAGGGAAGGTGTACAACAGCCGGTCCGGCCAGTTGCCATTCAGGACATCTACCACCACTGCCTTTGTCGACCTCATTTTCATGTAAAACCTTGGTAGCTGGTGATTTTCCTTCAAGGTGAAGAGGTCCATCTCCATCTCCCCAAACCTGCAATGTACCTGCAGGAAGGTCTCCCTGTTCAGCATTCATTTGGCTTGGTCCAGTGCCCTCCTGCTGAGCTAGTCTGCCACACTGTTAGAGAGCCATGCTATGCGCACTGCCTTCAGTGACTTCATGTGGGTCTTTGTCCATTGCAGCAGCCGTATTGCGATTCCCCCCCCCATCAGTTCAGATATGACTTTGCTGTCAGGTTGTCCATGTGGATCAAGATGTGCTGCTGACCCTCCAGGAGGTTCTGAAGGGCCTGTGCCCCTCACCTGATGGCTCTGAGTTCCCTGGGCCATTCAACCCTGGGAGTGGGTCCCCCATAGGCTGGCATCCGAGGTAAAAATCACCCTTGGTAGTTCCCTCAGAGGTGACCCCTCCTCTAAGTGGGAAGGGTCCACCTACCACTGGAGCGCTTGGATCAAGGCTTGTGTCAGCCAAACCTTTCGGGTCCGCCTGCTGGCTATCTGGTATTGGAAAGGAAGGAGGAACTGTTGCAGCAGTCAGAGGTGAAGGCATGGCCACTGCACCATTTCCTGGCAGGACACCATCATCCCCAGGAGGTGCACAAGCACCATGAGGTCTCCCTGTGGCTTGTCCATAAACTCCTGCACTGTTGCTAGGATCCTCTCTTGCTGCTCACATGATAAGAAGACCCTGTCCATCCCCGTATCTATCACCACCACCAAGTGCAGTATGCAACATGAGGGTTCCAGGTTTCTCTTCTCCCTGATGATGAAGCCGTGGTTCTAGAGACAGGCAACCATCTGCCCTACACCTTCTCCCCCCCTCTGGAGAGAAGCAGACCTGATTAGCAGGTCATAGAATCATAGAGTTGGAAGGTACCTCCAGAGTCATCTAGTCCAACCCCCTGCACAATGCAGAGAATTCACAAATACCTCCCCCCAACCCCAGTGACCAGAAGATGACCAAAAAAAAACACCCCTCCAGGATCCCTGGCCAAACTGACCCAGAGAAAAAATGCTTCCTGGGGGCCGACTTGAGCCCAAAGGAAAGGGCCCAATACTGAAATTGATACCCATTGTAGGCAAACTAAAGGTACTTCCAATGGACTTCTTGGATTGGGATGTGCAGATAAGCCTCTGGGAGATATATGGAGACCAGGAACTCCTCTCTCTGAATGGCCAACATGATTGATTTCACAGTCTCCATCCTGAACTGTTTCTTCTTTATCTGTCGGTTCAGCCACTTGACGTCCAGGATAAACCTGATGTCCTCATTCATTTTTGGCACCACAAAAAGAACTGAATCAACTCCTGAGGCCTCCTGACCCCTTGGTACCGGCTCTATTGCCCCAATGTTGAGAAGGTACTGTATAGCCCCATCGAGCAGTTGGTGATCCAGAGGACGTTTCTTCCTTGGGACCTATACAAAATGGTTTGGAGGAGACGCAGTGAGTTCCAGAGAACTATCGTGTCCAACACCCACTGGTCACCCACTGTGACCCTCCATTGCTCAATAAAGCCCTGGAGCCAACCACCTATCCCCTGTGGCCCTGGGGTCCATGGTAGTCAGGCTGACAGGCTCTGTTTACCCCCTTTAGCAGGCTGTGTTGCTGGCCTGCTAAAGGAAGGATTCCTGCTCCCTGATTTCTTGGGACTGCCATTTCCCTTTGTTGGGTCTGACTTGTCTGGAACCAGAGGCCCGCCTGGGCTCCCGAAAGGTCACTTAGGTTTGTGTTCCTTCTTACGGAATGGAAGGGAGTCCTTCTTGTCCTTGTCCGCTATCAAGTATTTGTCCATGCCTTCCCAAACAGGTGTGTCTCCTTGAATGGGATGCTGGCCCCCTTGGCTTGAGCAGAGGGGTCCACCTCTCAGTTGTGGAGCCAAGTGTTCCTCCTGACAGTGACACTAGCTGCCATGGACCTACCTGAAAGCTAGATGGCATCCAGGGAGGCATCTGCTGCAAAGGCTGTGGCCAATGCAATCTTCTACAAGCTGTCTTTTACTTCCTTGGGCACATCTCTTTCCATTGCCACCAGGTCTTTCCATCAGGTGTAGGTAGCCCTAGCAAAGAGGGAACAAGCGGCGGAGGTCCGAAGAGACGTGGTCACTGCCTCAAAGTCTTTGCGCAAGGACCATTAGATCCTCCTACCACATAGGTTCCTCGGCAACCCCTCTGCGTCCACTGGCAGGACTGAAGATGAGCACAGCTTAGCGGCAGGATCATCTACCTTAGGAAGTTTGAACCACCTCGCCACCATGGCCACCCCTGAGTAAAGCTTGATGATGATGGGGTGGTTTGTCTTGGGTTTGGCCGGGGCCTCCCATTCAGCCTTGACCATTCTGTGAAAGGCTGCCAAAGAAAGGGATCCCTAGTGGGGGGAGGGCTCCCTTTGTGGGCAAAAATCTGGAGGAACCTTCCTGCACATTAGTGTCCGAGTCCTCCTGGTCCCCGCTGCCCCTCAAAATCTCCAGAATCCATAGCACCTTGGGCAGGAGCTTGTGGAAGACCTCCTGCTGA